GAAATAGAATTTAATAATTACTGTAAATATTAAATAGTAGTAAGAGGAAATGTCTGAATTTGTGACTTTTACTGAACAGCAGGTGATTATATGTTGTAACTGTACCTCACAGTGATTCACTATTAAAAAATTATATTTACATATATTTATTTTGTTCACCATGAGAAATTAAAAGATGAAAAATCATACTGGATTATGGTTAGCATGACAAGTGACATACTGAACACAGTTGTTCAATTTTGACAATAATGCATCAAATAAATTTCTGGGGTTTTGTTTTTGGCAAATGAATTTCTTGGTCTAAGAAGAATTCCAAAGAATCGATTCTGTGATACACACATATGCAATTAGACATATAACTATGCACACACACATGCACGCACATTTGTTTATCCAGAGCAATCTAAGGTAGTCGATAGCAGCACAAATCTTTCTGGAATGTAAAACTAGGCTTTGGGTAAAAGTAACCCTAGAACCCTGAAGGTAAAGAGCAGTTTTGTGAGACAGTGATACAGGTGATATGTTCCAATAAGTGTGGAAATTTTATCATTTATTTCACATTCAAGTGATTTTTTTGGTACATAACAATTATTCTGTCTTAATACCAGCAAGTGTGATGCACTTTTCCTAATAGTATTATTTTAAGAAAATAAACAACGTATTATTAAACAACGTATTATTCAAGATTACACTGCTAGTATGTGGAAAGCGGATATTTGAGTTCAGACACACTAGACAAAAAAGACTTCCCTCTAGTACAGAATACTTAGTATAGTTTTTCTAAAACTAATAAATGACTTTCCTCTCGGAAAGACTGGAAGCTTCCAAGAATATTCCGCCCACATGGAAGAGCCTGGCAAGCTATCCGTTCTGTATTCGATATGCCAAAACCAGTAACTACAACTGGTCTCATTCACCTGACCCTGAAGGCTTCACCGACATGGCAGCACTGAGAAGGATGAGAAAGGAGGCCAACAAAATCTCAAGGCCGAACTAGGCTGCCACAACGAAGGAAGACAAAAATGATCGTCTGTACTTTCAATGCACGTACGCTAGCATCAGATGCATCCATCGAGGACCTGATGGTACAAACGCGCATGATCAAGTACGACATTATTGGTCTGACCGAGACAAGAAGGCACGAATCTCACCATGCCGTTTTCGACACTGGAGAATTGTTCCTCGGAACATGCGATAAAAGAGGTGTTGGAGGCGTCGGTGTCCTTGTCAACACAAACTTGGCCAAGAGCATTGATTCATTCGAATGCCTAACAACCCGAATCGGACGTTTACATTTGAATAGATGTGGCTCACTGTCTGCAGTTTCTATCTTCGTTGTCTACGCACCAACATCTCGTTATGAAGAAAGAGAAATCGAGAAGTTCTACATGAAGCTGGAGAAGTTCTATAAAGAAGACCACACCTTCTACAAGATCTTCGTGGGTGATTTTAATGCCAAGATAGGAACGAGAAGATCAGCTGAAGAACTTCACATCGGGACCCATGGCCTAGAATGGAACAAACAGGGTGAGAGACTGTCTGAGTTCATCATGTCGACCAAGAGCATCCATGGTAACTCACAGTTCCAGAAGGCAGAATCTAAACGTTGGACATGGGAGTCTACCGGTGGACGATTCCACAACGAAATAGACCACATCATATTCAATCGAAGGTTTTGCCTGACCGATGTCGCTGTTGTCCCAAAATTTCGAACGGGATCGGACCACCGTCTCCTTCGTGCAAAATTCTACTTTAAAGAGCAGGGAGAAAGGGCTGCAAAGTTCAAAAAGAGAACTCCCAGAACGACCATCAACTGGGAACTCTTTGGCACTATTGCAGCAACATGGGAAGATGCCATTGTTGACAACATTGACGAGGAATACGACTGGTTCAGCACCTCCATGAATGTGCGAGGAATGCCAAGAGAGAGATAGCCACAAAAAAAAAAGCCTGTCTTCGAAAATTCTTGAGCTAATTCGCCAGCGTGGTTTGGTGCATGCCTCAGGCAACCGCAAGCTAACGTCCGAGCTCGCGAAGCAGTGCAGAGATGCGATCAAGGAATACCTCAAAGAGAGAAGAGCAGAAGTACTGGTAGATGCGGCAGAAGCCGGGAAAAGTATTCGTAAGGCCCGCCTGTCCTTCGCCAACTATAAGACCAAGATGACTGCCCTCCGACGTCCTGATGGATCCATCACATCCTCCAGAACGGCAATGGAGAAGATTATCCACGACTTCTACTCAAATCTCTTCGATAGCCATGTCCACTTGCCGACATACCAAATTCCACAGGATGGATATGTCGTTCCCAACATTCTCCCTTCCGAAATCCGACACGCCATTTCTTCGGTAAAGAAACAAACAGCACCCAGCCCAGACAAGGTCAGACCTGAACACCTGAAGAACCTGCCATCAGTACTCATCAATACACTGGCTCGGCTCTTCACTCGCTACCTGTCTGAATGCAAGGTTCCGTCCCAATGGAAAACCAGCAGGACCATACTACTGTTCAAGAAGGGAGACATCCACGACATTGGCAACTATCGCCCTATCTGCCTATTGTCGATGGAAAACCAGCAAGACCGTACTACTGTTCAAGGGAGACATCCATGAAATTGGCAACTATCGCCCTATCTGCCTATTGTCTATCATCTACAAGTTGTTCACTCGAGTCATCCTAAATAGGATTGGCAGAACACTAGATGAAGGACAACCATGCGAGCAAGCCGGGTTCCGCAAAGGATTCAGCACCATCGACCATATCCACACAATAACCAAACTCATTGAGGTTTCTCGGGAGTTCAAGATGCTGCTCTGTTTAATGTTCATTGATTTAAAGAAGGCCTTTGATTCTGTTGAGACGGAAACGGTCATTGAAGCCCTAGTCAATCAGGGCATTCAAGCCCAATACATCAAGATCCTCCGTGAGCTGTATTGCGGATTCACTACCAGGATCTCACCATTCTACAAAGAAGTGATCGTTGATGTCAAGAGAGGGGTTCGGCAGGGTGATACCATTTCCCCGAAACTCTTCAGTGCCACCCTCGAGAACATCATGCGACGACTGGAATGGGAAGGAATGGGAGTGAAGATAGATGGTTGGCAATTACACCACCTCTGCTTTGCTGATGACATTGTTTTAATAACACAAACATCAGCCAAGCGGCACAAATGCTGGCTGACTTTGACTGTGAGTGTGGAAAGGAAGGACTACAGCTGAATGTTACGAAGACAATGTTTATGAGAAACAGCCTCGTTCCTGATGCCCCATTCGCTCTCAACGGAACGACCATCTCCGAATGCAACAGCTATGTGTACCCAGGTCGAGAAGTCAACAATGACAAATGACCTGGCACCCAAGCTGCGCAGGAGGAAGAGAGCGGCTTGGAACGCCTTCAAGAACGTCAAAGAAATAGCTAAGAGGATGAAGAACCTCCGGCTCTGGGCACATCTCTTTGATTCCACTGTTCTTCCTGCATTAACATATGCCTCAGAGACCTGGGCCCTACACAAACAGGATGAGAACGCTATTCAGGTCTCCCAAAGAAGAATAGAAAGAACTATGCTTGGAATATCACATTTCACTCAAATGAGAGAAAGAATCCGGAGTTCCAACATCCGTCAACGATCAATAATTAGGGACGCTGTCTCATTTGCCAAGGTGTCAAAAATCAGATGGGCTGGTCACGTAATGAGATCTAAAGACGACCGCTGGACTAGCTTGTTACTGACTAGATTCCACGGGATGTCAAAAGACCGCGTGGCTGCCCACCTACCAGATGGTCAGACTTCTTCGTGAAGATTATGAACGATCGATTTGAGGCTTTTCATGTTCCCAGAGTGAACAGATGCCATTGGGCTACACTAGCACGCGTCAGGGACAAATGGAGACTTTACTGGCACCCGCTCGAGCAAATCGACGATTAATGGGAAGTTAAGTGATTAATAAATGACAGTCTTTCTGAATAACTACAATACCACTAAGGACTATGTACTTACTATACCATCAGTGGAAAACTTGATTCCCATACATAAATTAATAAAAAAAAAAGTGTTAAAGGTATCCCAGTATCTCTTCATGTTTTGTCAATGGCAGAGAAAACAAAAATTGCAAGCTTTTATCAGGGCAGTGATATTTCTTCAATGCTTCAATAGTGGTCTTCTTTATTTTATTTTTAGTGTTGAGGGAAGAAGGCGGAGTGGGGCCTCATTTTCTATTGCAAGCAGTGAAAATGATGGAATAAAGATTTCTCCTAATGTAAACATAGTAAAACCATGGAACATGGAAAAGTAAACACTTGATTAATGAATCACAAATGTTTAAATAAAAAAATTACAGGTCAGAGCACCCACACATTTTGTGAACTCACAGTAAACACTTTATTAATAACATGTTCAAATGAAAAAAAAATTACAGGATAGAAAAAGATGAAAGAACAGTATGGGTTAAGTTCAATTGGAGCCAGAGATGTAGTACAGGACACTTAGGGTGCTTGCCTTGCACGTGGCTGACCTGAGGGTCCCCTGATACAGGAGTAATTCCTGAGTGCAGAGTTATGAGTAACCACTGAATATTACTGGGTGCAGTTACTCTTTCCCCGCCCCCAAAGCAAATAGTGCCACAATGAAAATGTGAGGGTGTGTGGTGGTTAAAGAAGTTGGTGAACACAAAGTTATTGGGCAAGAACAGTTCATAAGATTAAAATATTGGAATAATTTTTCAGTATAGGAACACAAAGAGAATTTATATATGAGAAACCCATGGTTTGTGACATTGTAAAATGAGACTGTGCATGTCTCATAGTCAACAAAAACCCCAACACGACAGGAAGGAACAGTCATGGAAAGAGTCAAATCACTAGAATTGGAGGCAGAAGTATTCACAAAAACTTTATACTCAGAATGATTCTGTAACCCATAACCCAGTAGCCAAATTGAGCAAATATATATATTGCTGTTTAATAGGTACAGAGTGGGGTGGGGGTTGCAGGTTGCACACACTTGGAATGCTAAGGACCCCACAGATCCAAAGATAGAGTAATAATTATTTTGTTGATTGAATTGAGAGGATCTAACTAATATGATTTGACTTACACCCACAGTCCATTCATGTCTGTATGACACATCTACCTCCCAGTAACACTTTCCTGATTTGGTAACTTCAGAGCCCAGAACATAATTATCACGAGCACCTGTTGAAAAATTCAGCTGTGAACTCCTATTTGGTACACATCTCACTTGTCTTCCATCCCTGGTTATTGTCATGAACTTTCAGAGTCATCAAAACTGTAAAAAAATTAGTACATTGTGTTAGGAAAATGCTTTTATATAATATTCTAAGAGATCTTGAGAATTATTTAAGTGGGAACTAGGACAAATATTACTTTGTTCTTGAGAATAACAATGTAAAAACAATAATATATGCATTTTTGAAGGGGAAATGAGTCTTAAAACATGAGATTTACAAGAAAATTAAAAATTCTTAAGTACTATGAGAACAGAATTTAATGATAGTATGCTTTTTCCTTACCCCAGTAGCATTGCACATCTTTCAGTTCTGAAATGGAAAAACAGTGTTAAATATAAGAAAAGGAGTCAGAACTCAAATTTACTTCCTCTGTATAGTTTGGATTGTAGAGAGGTACTGAACTGGTACATGAAGATAGAATCCAACACTTGACCACATCCCATTAAATAAAGGTATCTATCAGTAAATTTTCAAAAATTTTTATTAAATCACGGTGAGTTGATCTCAAAGTCTTTCAAGATGGGTTTCAGTCATGTAATGTTCTATCACCTATCTCTTCACTAATGTACATTTTCCACCACCAATTTTCCCAATTTTCCTGCTTCTAAACCCACTCTCAGTCTACCTATACGGTAGACTCTTCTGCCTCAACCCCTAGTCTCTCTGTCTCTGTGTGTCTGCCTCTTTTGTCTTTCTCTCTCTGGGCATTATGGTTTGTGCTACAGGTACACAAACCCTGTAATCTATATGATAACCCTGATACAGGGTTATCACATAAACACTACTTTCAGCACTCAATTCTCATCCAGAGTGATTATTTCCAACTGTCATTGTCATAGTTTTCCCTTCTCCATCCTATCTGCCCTCTCCCCCCCTTCTTCCCATTTCTGAGAAGCTTTCAACCGTGGACCAGACCTCCTGGTCCTCATTTATCCTGTCTTTGGTGGCTGTGTAGTATTCCATTATGTAGATGTATCATAGTTTCTTATTTCAATAGTCTGTTCTCAGACACTTGGGTTGTTTCCAGATTCTGGCTATTGCGAATAGTGCTGCAATATGCATAGAAGTGCAGATGGCACTTCTATAGTATGTTTTTGGGCTTCTAGGATAAATTCCAAAAGTTGTATTGCTGCGTCATATGCAAGTTCAATTTCTAGTTTCTTAAGGAATGCCCATATTGTTTTCCCTAAAGGCTGGGCCAGTTGACATTACCTTTATTCCTACATCAACACTGATTGTTCTTATTCTTTTTGACATGTGCCAGACACTATGGTGTGAGATATCTCACTGTTATTTTGATTTGCATCTCCCTGATGACTAGTGTCTGTTGGGGAACAGTTTTTCCCCAGCGTTCACCAACACGTTGAGCACCGGGTCCAGGCAGATGTGTGGCAGGTGCAGAGACACCCTCTGGGTGGCCAGCCGGCTCCAGCACCCCAACCATCCCCCTCATGGACCTGATGAAGATCAGCCACGTAGAAACGACTACAAAAGACAACCTAGGCATGACACCTCGCCCCCCCCTAAGCTGACATGGGGTGGGTCCTCCCAAGATGGCCCTGACGCCCACCAGCTGTGACAGAGGACATCACACACTGACTGGATCTCCTTCAGCATCTGCCCCAGTTCTGTGAGCAGCAGCAGCTCCGATCAGCGGCTCCTGGACCACACAATGCTGCCTCCGTGGCCAACCAGACACCTCCCAGGGTCCTGAGCCTTCAAGCCCAAGGCTGTGCATCACCAAGCCGCTGGACCTCAAGGAACACCCCAGCCCTGCCCCCTGAGCTGGACAAGCACTTCTTGCTGTGAGAGGCCTGCGAGAAGTCTTAAGTACAAGGAGTGCGCATCTCTCTGGATGTTGCCCTCCTGCTGGGTCTGCAACCAGAAGCACCTGTGCTCTGCACAGACCCTGGTCAACTATGGCATGTGCATGTGCCTGCTGCAGGGCATCTTCCACCACTGCACCGAAGACGATGAGGGCTCCTGCGCTCACCACCCCTGCTTCTGCTCCTGCTCCCACTCAAACTGCTTGGGTCCTGATCCTTCATGGGCGCTCTCTCCCTCATCCTACCCTGTCTGCTCTGCTACCTTCCTGCTGCAGGCTGTGTGAAGCTGGCCCAGTGCAGCTATGACCCTCTGCGCTGCCCTACCTACTGCTACAAACATAAGAACAGTGTCATCTGCAAAGCAGCGTGGGCAGAGCCAAGGCTGCCAACAAGCCATTCTGACACTTGATGTGGCCGCACCCCACGCACTCTCTCCAGACACGTGCCTCCGTTCTTACACCCGGAGAAGACCCACTGCCAGGACAGAGGGGTGAAACGGGCCCCCTGACCTCCCCACCCCAATGGCTTCCTCAGCCACAGGACCTGCCACCACTGGCACCAAATCTGTTTCCCCAAAGAATGAAGAAGCAGCGTCTCACTTTGGGGTGCGTCTTTTGCTTTTGCTGCTTTTTTCTTCCTTCCCCAGCGCCCTGGAACTTTGTCAGACAGTGGCAGAGGGGTGCGGGGGCCGGAACACAGATGTGCACGTATCCCGGAGCTGCTTGAATGCCTTCCAGGCTTTCCTCCCTCTCCTCCTCCCCTTCTCTTTGGCCACCTGTGAGAAATCCATAACTGACTGTCCCTAGAGAACTTTCGAGAAGACTCCTCTATACCCTCCTTCTTTATCCCTCCTCCACTTCGTTCCTCAGTGTGGGGGAAGCGGGGTTCGGGCTGTCCCTGGTGTAATTAGGAGCTCCTTGAGAACATAGGAAGTGCAGGGGAACTCAGCTGCTCAACACGCTTTGCCTACACCCAGCCATGGACAGCACATTTTCCCCTTCCTGCTTCATCGCTAACTTGAGGGGAGGAGGAAAGATAGGGGGGAGACTACACACTGCCCTTCATCCCACTGAGTTACAGACTCACCTGTCCACTCCATGTCCCATGTTGACTCTAACCAAATCCTTTCCAGAAACACATATGGGTAGAGATGCCCGGGGCAGCCAGTTTGAGTCCAAATATCATTTTGCCAAGGAGTCTGAGGCTATGGTTTCAGAAACCAGTCACTATTTTTTGTTTGTTCGTTTTCCTTTTTGGGTCACACCCAGAGATGCACAGGAGTTACTCCTGGCTCATGCACTCAGGAATTACTCCTGCCAGTGCTCGGGAGACCATATGGGATGCTGGGAATCGAACCCGGGTCGGCCGCGTGCAAGGCAAACGCCCTACCCACTGTGCTATCACTCCAGCCCCAAGTGTTTTTTTTTTTTAAAGAATAAAGTAAAAAAGAATAACAAAAAACACTTGCTTCCTCATAAAGTAACAAAATAAAAGACTAACACCCAAGAATAGCCGAGATAAGGACCAGGAGGTTTACTCCATGGCTTGGAGGCCAGTAACACATGCTAAGGGAGAAGTCAGCTCAGATAGAGAAGGGAGCACCAAATAAAGGGTATTGGGGGGATCCTCCCAGGATGGGAGAAGCATGCTGAAAGTAGACTATAGACCAAACATGATTGCCACTCAATGCCTCTTTTGAAAACCACAGCACCCAAAAGGAGAGAACAAGGGGGAATGCCCTGCCACAGAGGCAGGGTGAGGTGGGGGGCGGGGGGTGGGAGGAATACTGGGATCAGTGGTGGTGGAGAATAGGCACTGGTGGAGGGTAGGGGTATTCAATCATTGTGTAACTGAAACCCGAGCACAAAAATTTGTAAATCTACAACTGTACCTCATGGTGTTTCACTAATAAGAATCTAAATAAAAAATAAATAAAATTTTAAAAAATGTTTTATCACTAATAAAAATTAAAAAACAAACAAAAAAACAAACAGTTGCTTCCTTGTGGGCCACCCTCGCAAAGGGCTTCTTTTAAAAATCTGGTGGTGAACATTGTGCCTCCAGGCACCACCTTAGCACACCAACAGCCCTGGTCCCGAGACACAGCAACGATTCCCAGAAGACACCACAGAGCCAGAGATCTCTCTGGGCACCACACTGTGTCAATTTTACTGGGGTACCCCAGATGGAGTAGGTGCTATCTCCCTGCCTACTCCCAGATGCAATCCCAGCAACCAAGACCTTCCGCAGCCAAGGTCCAGGTATGCGGGTTCCAGGACTAAATCTCCATGCCACATGGTGGCAGATGCGCCAGGCTGTCCCTCCCAGGCTACCTGCCCGCTCACCGGCCTGACTGTCACATCCACAATATGCTTCCGGGTGCCACCTTAGTGCCCCAACAGCCCTGGTCCGGAGACACCCAACTGAATCCCAAAATGCATTAGTGCCCTACAAAATATCTCTGGAACCCATCCATTTACAATCTAGGATTCCAGAAGTGCTTGTCCGTGGCACCCAAGATTTTCAAAATGAGCAAGGGACAATGAAGGATCTAGCATCTGGCCCTGGCAGGCAGACTTGAATGATGGTGGGAAAATTCAATCAAAACATAATGCCCAAAAGTAGAGAGAGAGAGAGAGAGAGAGAGAGAGAGAGAGAGAGAGAGAGAGTATTGGGGAAATTGCCTGCTGTGGAGGCAGGGTGAGGACTGGGATGGGGGTGAGGGAAGTACACTGGGTAGAAAGTGCACTGGTGGAGGGATGGGTGTTCGATCATTGAATGGCTGGATCTCGAACATGAAAGCTTTGTAACTGTATCTCACAGGGACTAAAAAAAAAAAAAGTAACCTAGAGTTCATGCCCAATTTAATCAGCATAATCGAGACTGAATAAAAAGCAGTACTCCTACATTAAAATAATAAGAATCTGGGGGTGGGGATGCAATCCACAGGAAACACACATCTCCCTCCCCATCATTAACATTTTCATAGCAGAGACAGCACCTACCTTCTCTTGGCAGAATGAGGGTAGCGTCTAGCGGGGGTCTTCTCTCCTAACTGGCTTGTCCTCATAGGCCCTGTATGTATAATGACATGTCAGTTACCTTTCATGTACTGGGGGGGGGGGGGGGGTCCAGGTGTTTATTGGGGTTGAGCCAAATCTCTCTCAAGGTGCTAAAGGACTCGGAGAGGGCAGTATCCATGGGTAGGTACTTGTTGCATGGGAAAAGTTGCAGTGTTCTCAGCTTACAAGAAGGTCCAGTCACATAAAGTTCAGCATCATTTGCCTATCAGCAATCCTACTCTGCTTTTCCCTGGTCCAATCCCAATCAAGGCTAGTTGCTGCAATTAGGATGACTTGCTAAGCATATCTGACACTTTGTGTCTTGGGCTCATCTGACTAGGAGGTCGAGTGAGGGTCAAGGCCAAACACCCGGTTCTCGCTGACACCCTGTTCTTGACAACTTTGTCCAGATACTATCTGTTGTGAGGCTTCACTTCTGGGCTGCAATGCAAAGTTGGGTCTTATCTGCTCCAGTGCCATTACCATGCTCTACAAGCATCCACGTCCCTCTTGTCTCCTCTGTTCTCAACTGGAAATTTAATCTACTTCCCCATTTAGTACATACCATCACAAATCCCACACTCTTAATACTACTTAATACTACTCCTTACCATCAAATGCTTTCAGTATCCCACGCAGATCAGTAGCTCTAAATACTTTGCGATTTTTCCGGGAAACAGTTTTTGGCTTTGTCAGAGTCAAGTTCTCACTCCTAAGGATGACAAAAACTAATGAGACGTCTGATACACTTTCCCTTCAAAACCACTGTCTTGATCTATTCACCCCAATGATGCACTTAAACTCAGCTCCTGGAGACTACGGCAGATATCGGAGTCCAGACCGCAAAGATTGAAAAACTAAGATCATTTCTAATTAGCTTCCCCTGTTACCTTCTGCGTGAACCTTTAAAGACATCTCAGAAGAAAACCCTTCCAGAACAAATTAATTTTTTCTTCTCCATTTTCTAGAATTCATATTATATAATGAATCTAGCAATCCAAAAGAAAAATTGTGTGGAAAAGTCTCTGCTGGACATGGCGTTCAGAGTAGTGACAGAGAGTGAGGTGATGAAACCGGGCTCCAGGTCTGCAGCACATGAAGTGTGAGGATACAGTTTGGAAAGGATCAATATCTTCAAAATCAGTTCCCTGGGAAGGAAACTCTCAGAAGAATGAGTTAAGAGTTTAGCTTCTCTGAAATCAGCTATAAATACTTAAAGTATAATGTTATTATAAGCTCACGTAGCTGAGCAATCTGAAGCAGCCAGCTTGGAATGCCAATCTGGAGTGAGCCCTTCCTTTGTATTTACATAGATATAAAGTATGTGACCGTGATGGATACTTCTTTGCTGCAGAGATTATAAATTTCTTGGTAAGCAGAACCATAAGAGAAAACTTACTCTCTTCCATCCTCAGGGAAGAAATGAAAATATGAGAGAATTGGATCCAACAAATAGTGTGTGGGAAAGGGGGGAATGGAGGAGGGGAAAGTGGAGCAGAGTGATAGTACAGTGTTTGTCTTGCATGTGGCAGACCCAGGTACCCCATGATTCCGAGTCTGCTAGGAGTGACCCACGAGCTCAGCCAAAATGAAGCCCTAAGTTCTGCCATGTGTCCAGAACCCTTCACCCAACCCCTACCTCCAAAATTATGGGAGAGAAAATCCAGGGGGTAAAGTGCTTGCCTTCTTGCTGCCACCCCAAGTTTGATCCAAACTGCTGCATTTGGTACTGAGGACTGCAAAGGGTGAGTTCTGAGCACAGAGTCAGGGAGTTCAGGACACCACTCAGTGTGGTCCCCAATAAACAAAAGCAAAATAAATTATAAGAGAATGAGAACACGTGGAAATGAAAGTAGAGAAGACAGAAATGGAATGATCTACCTCTGTTACAGACATAAGAGTGTTATAGAGGCAGTTGAGGGGGTTGGACTTATAATAAAGCAAATAGGCATTTGGCTTGCATGAGCCCGACCTGGGTTCTATCCCTGGCTCCCATACTGTCCCCCTAGCACTGTCAGGATTTCTGTTGCAAAACCAGGAATACTTTTTTTTTTTTTAAAAGGGGCAGTTTTTGCTAAATATTCTAAATATTTTTAGGGCGTTCGCCTTACAAGCGGCCAACATGGCCGACCCGAGTTCGATTCCTCTGCCCCTCTCAGAGAGCCCGGCAAGCTACCGAGAGTATTCGATATGCCAGACACAGTAACAACAAAGTCTCCAATGGAGACATTACTGGGCCCGCTCGAGCAAATCGACAATCAATGGGAGGGCCTTTACCTTTACCTGCCTTTATTCTAAATATTTAATTTTGGATATTTATTAAATAAAGCAAACATTTCCCTACCTTAAATCAAGTTTCTGAGTTAATTATAGACACAGGGTAAAATTAAGCCATCAAAAACACTCTGAGGTCACATCTCTAAGTGTCACTCATCCAAACTCTGTAACATCCTATCACCCAAATTCTTTACCAGACAAGTCCATTCTCAATACTTAAGAGATCATACAAGCCAAGATTTGGGAATAGAAATTTGATATAAAACTATGGAGATTTATATATTTTAGTCTTATTCATCACCTGATGACTGTAATGATATTAAACTTCTTTTGATTGCACAAAAGGACCATTTCTGATCTTCCATGCATACCTTTTGAGAACATCATTCACATTCTAGGGAGGAAAGAGAAAATATGAGTCTAGAAATAATAAACACACTCCACTTACAGGGCTTCATCACATTCTCACATACTGCTTCATGAAGTAGAACAGATCCAGAGACCTCATTCTTAGTTCGTGAAGGAAACAAAATATTAGCAGAATTATGGGGGAGGAGGGGAAGACTTCCTTACAGAATTCAAACAAAAAATTCTGAGGCTGCATAGTATTGGCTTTTGTTGGGTCAAGGGTCCATATTAGGGAGCTGGAAGGATGAGCTGGAAAGACAGCAGAGCAAGTAAGGCACTTATTTTGCATGCAGTGAATCCGGGTTCCATCCAACTGCAAACATCCCTTATGGTGCCCAGAGCATTGTGAAGAGCAACTCCTGAGTGCAGAGACAGGAATGACCCCTGAGCATCACTGGGTGTGGCCCCAAAATACAAAACAAAAGAAACAAAAGGGACCATAGGGATTAGTGCTTGCTTTCCATGCAGCTGACCCATGTTTGATCTCTAACACCACATATGTGGATGGTCCCCTGAGCCCTGCCAGCAGTGATCCCTTGCAGAGATAGTGTAAATCCTGAACACTACCAGTTTTGGCCAAAAAACCAAGCAAACAATCAAAAACACAAGGTTCATATTAATAGTAGCACTTTGTGGAATTAGAGATGAAGAAGGTTTTTCTAGAATTTTTTCAATGTCAATATGAAATAGACCATGGTAAGAAATGAAATGTTATCATTAGAGAAAAACTAGGAAAAAGTTAATAACCCATATTGGAAAGGTGAAAAGTTTATATTAAAAATTAAAAATTTTAAAATTTTAAAAATTTTAAAAATTTAAAATCTAAAAATTTATTCCTGGGGCTGGAGCAATAGCACAGCGGGTAGGGTGTTTACCTTGCACACAGCCAACCCAGGTTCGATTCCCAGCATCCCATATAGTCCCCCGAGCACCGCCAGGAGTGATACCCGAGTGCATGAACCAGGAGTAACTCCTGTGCATCGCCAGGTGTGACCCCAAGAAAGGAAAAAAAAAATCTCCTTTAAAAATTTATTCCTGAAACATACGTTTAGAAGATATAGTAGTACTGTAGCACTGTCCTCCTGTTGTTCGATTTTTTGGAGTGGGCACCAGTAACATCTCCATTGTGAGACTTGTTACGGTTTTTGGCATGTAAGACACGCCACAGGGAGCTTGCCAGGCTCTGACTGCAGGTTACTCTCGGTAGCTTGCCGGGCTCTCCGAGAGGGGCAGAAGAATCAAACTCAGGTCAGCCAGGTAAGTCACATGTGAGGCAAACACCCTACCCACTTCAATATATTTAAATATAGAGCCCAGCAAGCTACCAAGAGTATGTTTTTGACATATCAAATACGCCACGGGGAGCTTGCCAGGCTTTGCCATGCGGGCAAGATACTCTCGGTAGCTTATCGGGCTGTCCGAAAGGGGCAGAGGAATCAAATCCTGGTCAGCAACGTGCAAGGCAAACGCCTTAACCGCTGAAATAAAAAGCAATCATTGACTAAGGACTACAGCTAAAACCTGCATTGCATCGGTAAATGCTGTCTTAGGAAAAAAAAGTCAAAAATGTTTTCAAAGTTTCTAATTCAGGAAATGTAAAGGAACAATAGTAGTAAATCCAATCATATATAATATACAGAAAATAATAATGGTAGTTCAAAAATGAATACCATGAACATTTTGAAAAAGCCTTAAAACAAGGTCTGTTTGGGGGCTGGAGTGATAGCACAGAGGGTAAAAGCACCACTAGGGGAATTCCTGAGGAGAGCCCGGAGGAACCCTTGAGCATCACCTGGTGTGGACCCCAAACAGCAGTAACACAACAAACACTACAACAAAAAAGGCGAATTCTTGAAAAACCAATAAAGTTGATGAAAACACTAGATAAAGAAATAGAAAAAATTAATCATACAAATAAAAATAAGAAGGTTATTATTAAAGGGTTTTCTTTCTTTTTTAGTTTTTTGTTTTTCCTTATATTTGGCCCTCACCCAGTGACACTCAGGGTTTACTCCTGGCTCTGCTAAGAATTATTCCAATGATGCACAGAGGATTGATTATATGTGGTGTTGGAGATCAGGCACAACTTAGATGAGTGAAAAGCAAGCATCACACTCAATATTGTCTCTGTGGTTCTATTAACTAAGGGTTCTATATAAATTAATGATGTAATAAGGAATTTTAAGACTAATTTTATTTCTAACATAGCTGAACAAATTTCTACAAATACTGACAAAAATAAACTCAAAAACAGTAAAAAGCATAAGCCTGATATGAGTAAAAATTATATACATATATACATTAAATATTAATAAAAGAACTCTGAGATAGCTACATGGTGAATTCTACCGAATAAGAAAAAGTAATACTGCCATTCATAAATTATTTTTAGAAAACAGGAAAAGAGGAAACAGGAAAAGAACTCTACCTGTGTGAAAAGGAAAAGACTAAATACACAAAATGTATTTGCCGATGGCAGATGCTAGAAAATTATTTGTCTGGTAATTGCTTTACACAGTGGGTAGGGCGTCTGCCTTGCACGCAAGCCAACATGGCCGACCCGAGTTCGATTCCTCCACCCCTCTCGGAGAGCCCGGCAAGCTACCGAGAGTATTCGATATGCCAGACACAGTAACAACAAAGTCTCCAATGGAGACGTTACTGGGCCCGCTCGAGCAAATCGATGATCAACGGGAGGGCCTTTACTTTACTTACTTTTACTGGTTACCAGGTGAGAAGAATCTACAGAGTGCCTCAAACACACTGGATCTGTGATCTAATTTTTGCCCTCCGGTTGGTAACTTAATACAAATGAGATTTTTCTCTTGTTACTTGGGCTTTTAACTGTTTGGATAGCCTTTGAAATAAAATCAGGGAAGTTGTATTGCATGAAAAAAGAATCTTAGTGTCAGAGCACAACAATAAAGATGGGAAAGAAAAAAAGGTTCTCATTTCAAATCTCAGGGTCTGGGGCTCCTTCCCAAGTCTTACGTGCAGCATCTCTCTTGTTGATGCCTGTAGTTTGTGCTCCAGATCCAAGATGAGACCTCGTGTGAACTCGCTCTGTTGAACCAGCTCCTTCTCGGACTCTGCCAGGTCATGGAGAATTGTTTTCTCTTCTTCCCTCAGCTTTTGCAGCTCCTTTTGTTCCTCCAAATCCATGGCATCTCGTATTTGTTTAAATGCTTTCTGGACACTTTGAATCTCATTTTCTATTTGATTCTTAAAGAATGAGAAAGAGATAAAGGAACTCAGGGTATATGGCAGAGACTGGGAGTCAGAGAAAAATAAAAAGTAAAGTAAAGGCCCTCCCGTTGATCGTCGATTTGCTCGAGCGGGCCCAGTAACGTCTCCATTGGAGACTTTGTTGTTACTGTGTTTGGCATATCGAAATCGAGAGAAAAATAACTACACTAATTAAAAGTTCTCTAAAGAAATTAGAACAACGGAAACCATTCTTGACAGGTGACTTTCCAGATTACTTCCCCATATCAGACTCAAAAGCAATGGCCTCAGATCTATAATATTGAGGCCAATCCTGAGCCAAAAAGGAGTGCCAGGATGTGACTCAGTTTTTACCTACTTAGGCTGGATAATTTATTTCCTGAAATTAATTATTTCCTTGCAAAATTTCACATAGAAGACTAAACCAGGAGCCGTTAGTGGACCATTTTCTCCAGAAATGTTGATTTGAAAAATGTAGTTGACCTGGGTTTGATCCCTAGCATCCCAATGGTCCCAGTCAGAGCGCAGTCAGGAGTGATTCCTGGTTACAGTCATTAGCAACATCTGACTATTGCTGGGTGTGGCCCAAAAATATTTAGAAAATGACAAAAATATAACAGGGACCCTAGCTATGTTCACCAGTGACTCCCTCTATAGGGATTTAGAATATAATTGTTCTATATTAATATCACCAAATAAACAGGATCACCTTCCAACCCTTACCTCTATCAGGGAAAAACTAAGAACGGATAGTCAAATTTCATTTGGGCCTATTAATAATGAAGAAAAATAAGAAAGGAACTCCGTCTTCCTAAAATTCCAGCTCTCAAATTGTCTGATTTCCTCTGAAAGTTTCTCCTCTGGCAAGAAATTCTGACACTTCAGAAAGTTTCTCTACCTGCCAAAAAGATCTGTGTTCTCTGAGAGTAGTTTCAAATTTTTCAGCTTTCTGCTGCTTCTTTCTCAGTTGCACCAGAGATGCCTGGAGCTTTTCCTGTAGAAAAGAAGTAAAAAATTGACTTAAATTTGAGATTTCTCTGCAGGGGAATATAAGATAAATGAGGAAAAAATAATACCAAGCTTCTAAGAAATTAAGGAGTTTTAGAAGCTCTAAAGAAAAGTAATTAGAACCTATGATTAAACAGAAAACTTAACATGTGAAGAAAAGTAGAAATTAGAGGCCACGATCTATCCCCAAGAAAGAAATTTCTCTCTCTCTCTCTCTCTCTCTCTTTTTTTTTTTTTTTTTTGCTTTTTTGGGTGACTCCTGGCTCTGCACTCAGGAGTACTCTTGGCGGTGCTCAGGGGACAATATGGGATGCTGGGAATTGAACCCGGGTCAGCCGTGTGCAAAGCAAGCGCCCTAGCTGCTGTGCTATCTCTCCAGCCCAAATTCTCTTTCTTAGAAGATAAACCTACTCCTGCAGTAAGGGAAAATTTACATCATAACTCACCTGTCTCCCACTTCACCTATTCAAAAAGGGGATAAGAGCTTTTCTGAAGCACCCAATGTCCCCTATCTAGCACAAGTTTCAAACTTCTGGCTAAGTCTCTATTGTAGGTTAATCTTTTTGTAACTGGAATGCACAAACATGTTCTCTAGACATCAGAAACTGAGCACAGGGGAAAAAAACTACAGGTCTCTGGGCTCTCCTGCCAAGGTAGGTAATCAGTCCCATGTTTTGTTCTGCCTCTCCATCTGGTCTAGTACCTTGCATTCTTCGGCTGCCTCCTCAATGAGGAGCGTGTGGTGACCACGGTGTTCCTGAGACCGTTCACACAGCCAGCAAATGAACATCCAGTCCTCCTTACAGAACAGCAGCAACTTTTCTCCATGGTGCGCACAGAGCTCTTTCTTCTCTTCCTCCTCTAGGCTTAAATTGACCCCTCTGAGCCTCTCTACTAAATTGGTCAGATGCCGATTAGGCCTCATGTTCCCAGGATCGTAAGTGATTCTGCATATAGGACAGCTGTTCTTCCCTGCTTGACTCGACTCCTGGCTGTTTGCAGTGATGCAAGCTTGGCAGAAGCTGTGGCCACATTCCAGGCACAATGGTTCTCTCAAGAGTTCCAGGCAAATGGGGCAGGTAACCTCTTCCTGTACGTTTCTCAGGATTTCGACAGCCATAGCTGCTGCTCCTCTGCTCATAGTTACCCTAACTTTGGAGGCTTTTTCCTGCACAGTTCCCTGCAAAATTAGAATGGGGCAGTCATAAAGGTAGGCATAAAATATTTTGATAACCAATATTATGCAGATACCAAAAACAGGCAAAAAAAACAATGAAGAGAAGAACAGAGAAAGAGAAACGAGCAACAAGCAAAAGAGCTTGACAAAATCACTTTTCATAAAAATCTCACTTAATTTCAGTTCACGTCACAAAATAAGTTGCATTCCTATCTGTAAACTTTATTTTCTTTGTTCTTACTGAACAAAAGGACACACCAAAGTTTTCTCCTATCAAGATTACATGAGAACTTGAATTTCCACTTTCTTCTCCCGTGGTCAAGTACTTCCTGAATGTTAAAAGAACCCAACCACTTCAATATGGGTTTTTATATCCATTCCTCTCCAGGCATAGGTTATTGTTGTTGTTATAAAGTGACTCATTTTTGTATTTCAGCATGTTCCTTATTTGAAAAACTACTCTAACTGATCTATACTGTAACCATTGCTGTCACTACTATACATTTGTAATGATTTTTCTAATCATTGTAATACAATGAGTCTATAATGGTAGGAGCAAATCCTTTCATCAGAAGTGTAACTACAGATGATAAGAGTGACATGTAGCAGCAGAAAAATGGGACAGACACTTGCCAACCGGGTTAAATCCCTGCCAATCCATACAGCCTACCAGCACCTCCAAATGTGATCCATGAGCCAGGAATAAGCCCTGAGCACTACAGAGTGGGGCCCCCCAGACCAACATGAAATGAAAGTGATATACTTTGTTCATGAAATAGATCTTCAATAAACAGAATTGGAAATTGGAGTGAAGTAATCTATTTGGTATCTCCTAATAATAGAGGGCTGTCTCCTACTTCAGACAGAATGAAAAACATAAATCAAGAACCCAACTAATTCAATTAATACTGTTTATTAACCCAATTAATATTTTTGAAAAACAATCAGACTGGGCGCATATGCTGCTTGAACCCATGGGCTTTTGCACCCACATGGCCAAGCAAATGGTGCCTGAGCACATGTGTTGCCTGCATCTCTCCTCTTGAGATGTGTACTTTCATGTCTAATGCTAGGATGTGTGTAGAGGTTCTCTCTGCCCTTGGGGAAGCCTGTGTTCTCTGTTCTCTCGAGTGCATTTCTCTCTCTCTCTCTCTCCTTCCATACCTTAAAAACCCTCCAAATAAAATCTATTTATCTAAAAAAAAAACAGACTGAAGTTTGAATCATTTATGCTGGGGATCTGCTGAACTATAACTCGTAACCTAATTTCTGGCCTATTCCAAAGGAGTCAATCTGTACCTTTTTTTTGGTTAGTGTAGATAATCTACATAATAAGATTCTCTAACTTCTCCCTGGGGACATCTTTTATCCAGAATAATCCTTTCTTTTGCTATCATTTTATATAATTTTTCAGAATATTTCTAATATTACGTGGACCATGCACCAGATTTGTGAATAATTTGGCTTTAAAAAGGCCCTGACAGGTGGTGGGAGCGTTGATCTTTGATTTGCTCGAGCGGGCCCAGTAACGTCTCCATTGGAGACTTTGTTGTTACTGTGTCTGGCTTATCGAATACTCTCGGTAGCTTGCCGGGCTCTCCGAGAGGGGCGGAGGAATCGAACTCTGGTCGGCCATGTTGGCCGCTTGTAAGGCAAACGCCCTACCCACTGTGCTATCGCTCCAGCCTTTTTTATTTTTCTTTTTAACTTCTCCCTGGGGATATCTTTTATCCAGAATAATCCTTTCTTTTGCTATCATTTTATATAATTTTTCAGAATGTTTCTAATATTACGTGGACCATGCACCAGATTTGTGAATAATTTGGCTTTAAAAAGGCCCTGACGGGTGGTGGGAGCGGCAGGAACCTCATGGGAAGGAGGGCGTAATGGGCCGTCCTTCACGCCCGACCGAGGTCACCAGCTGCCCCCCACGAGCGGCTCTCCGGCATGGCCACGACTCCAGGGCACAAAAACCAATCTCTTAACTAGCTAACTTTTAATATAAATTCTTCCAGGGTCAATAAGTAAAATAGCAGAAATCCAAAACCGCGCGGCTGCAAGACATCATTTTATTCTTAAACCAAGTTGTAGAAAGCAAATCATTTCACAACGCTGTTTCAGCATGTCTGATGGGGGGGGGGGGGTCGTAAACTCTAAACAATAATTGTGCATCTTCTATCGAAACAATGTATCTAGTCAAAGTAGATAGAGTATTAACTAGAACTCATCTGCATCACAGGAATTGAGAGGGGTGGGAGGTGGGGTTCTATTGGGGTTCGCGGTTAAAAATAAGTATTGGTAAAGGGAAATGTGTTTGATATTTACATGACTGAGACCTAAACCCGAAAGCTCTGTAACTTTTCCCACAATGATTCAATAAAGAAATAAATTATAAAAATAAATAAATAAATAAATAAATAAATAAATAAAAAGGCCCTGAGTATAAGAATTAAGTGTCTTGTCTTATAGTTGGCTGACCCCTGTTCAATTCCTGGCATCAAACACAGATGATCCCCAGAGTACCAATGAGTGATCCCTGAGCACAAAGCCAGGAGTGAACCTTGAGTATTGCAAAGTATGACCCAATCTCTACTTTGCCATGAACCCCCCCCCCCAAAAAAAATCAGAACAATTAGATCTGGTTTTTTTTTTTCAGTTCAATGTTGTGTTGTCACAATACCCAGAACATTAGGGATGTGGAAGTGAAAAGAAACAGATTAGATGATGGTTTCTAGGGAATCAAAGTATTTAGGATGCTAAATTTCACCTTGACTTGGAAATGTACTGAGGACTACACAATATGTTCTTATGTATGCAGGTGTGCTTGTGTTGGGTGCTAGAAGGGTAAAACGCATACATTTACTCATTATGATCAGACAGAATCACAAATAAACGTCAAGTTTTAAAAACTCTCATGATTACAAGTTCACTAATATTCAAAAACATGAGTCTAAGTAAATTATGAGAACAGAATATGGGACGAGAAAGGTAGTACTAGCAGGTAAAGTGCTTGCTTACACGGAGGCTGACCTAAGTTCACTCTTCAGCATCCCATATAGCCCCCTGAGCGCCACCTGGTGTGAGCCCTGGGTACAGAGCCAGGAGTAACCGCTGAGCACTGCAGGGTCTGACCAAAAACCAAAATACCAGAATATACCAGAAGGCCCTCCCGTTGATCGTCGATTTGCTCGAGCGGGCCCAGTAACGTCTCCATTGGAGACTTTGTTGTTACTGTGTTTGGCATATCGAATACGTCACGGGGAGCTTGCCAGGCTCTGCCATCGGGGCGAGATACTCTCGGTAGCTTGCCGGGCTCTCCGAGAGGGGCGGAGGAATCGAACTCGGGTGGGCCATGTTGGCCGCTTGTAAGGCGAACGCCCTACTGCTATGCTATCACTCCAGCCCATTAAACAATGCAAAAAATAGAGGAATATTCAACAATTCTAGCAGAAAACATGAAGGTTAGTATTTTGAAGACACCTAAGAAATGTGGAACTAAAAGGGAAACAGGGGACATCCAAATAAGCCATTATAAACTGGAGCTTATGCATGCTTGTGCATTGCGAAAGCAATGCCTTAGTAACCTTGATTTAGACCAATGCCATTAACACTTGGATTTGGGAGTTTGAAGAATGGTACCAAGCTTTTCTAAGGAACTATTAAATGCTAATGAAGCCTGATTTCAAAGAGAAAAGTCTATCACAGACAGCACTGCCATGAAGGCATTATTTTATTTTGCATATTTTTCAAAGATTAAGACAGGTTTTTTTTTTTTTAAAAAAGGATCTGCTTAAATAAATTCATGCCCCACTTCCTCCTACCCTCCCTCCGCCCCTCCCCTCCCCGAACCGCACACTTGAACTGAAAGAATCCATATTAGGGCATCAATTTTTTGTGTACTTTAGCTAACTTGCAACATTGCTTTCTGTAAAACTGTTTGGCTGCTTTGCACCTGGGGGAGAGGGGACTTGGAAAGTGAACAGGGCATAACTTCTTTCTAAACCAAGTGTGACAGGATTCAGGTGTATTTACTGTTCCTGAAATGTACTGTCTCAGTAAAGCACCCTGCAGATTTGGGTAAAGGATAACTCGGGATGCGGGTGGTTGGGGGAAATTGCCCTTTCCTGGAGTGTATTGTCTCACTAAAGCACCCTGCAGACTTGGGTAACTCAAAATGTGGATGGTCAAGGGGGATTACCTAAGGCTTAATGATTCCGGCTATAACCTTGCTTGTGCTGACAATGGATGTACGTAAATGCTGATCTTTGAATCTATTGGGTTTTGGTTCATTTTCAGGCAACTTTATATGAAAGCAAAGGACCAGAGAAATAGTAAATAGTTGCAGCACTTGCCCTGCACACAGACAATAGACAACTCAGGTTCTCTGATATCCTTTCTCCCCCAGCCCTGCAAGCAGACCCCTGAGTGTAGAGCTAAAGGAAAGCTATAAGCACTTCTAGGTGTGGTCAAAAAGGTGCTTTTTTCTTTTTATCTTTTTGACTAATTGAAAATCAGAGAGGGGAAATATATATTAGAAAAACAAAACAAACTCTTTACAGAAGACACAATGATGTAGGCAGGTAGACAGGGAAAGGACCTTGACAATGAAACTTAGATCAACACAGCTTCTTGGAAGGAAAATTTTAAGACTGATCCACCTTGTGAATACAGAAAAAAAAGACCTGATTAAGACCACTGAGGAGAGTGCCCGCCCTCCCCCCTTCCCCGTGAAGTTCCTCTCCTCCAGAATCCTAGGAAACTCTCCTTTTTTTCTGATTAGCTTCCGTAATTCCGCCCAGAAAGGACTCTGGAACAAGACAACCCTCAACATATAAAAGAGTCCTTGAACAAAGGGGCACCCATATGCTGCCCAAGCCTGTGGGCTGCTTGCACCTGTGTGGCCGAGTATATGCGGTGCCTGAGCACATATGTCACCTGCATCT